GTCATGGTCGACTTCCAAAAAATGATTCAAAATTCAGGATAAGAAGGAAGATATTGAGATTATTGTTTGGCGGGAAATTTTTCTTTGAAACATCGTTGTGTTATTCAATTTAAAATTATTTGCTCACTAACCGCCGACGAGCGATTTTGACGATTTCGCTGGCCGCGAGGCGGCCTTTAGGAGCGCCCGGCGCCCCGGGGGTTGGGCCGTGTAGCGGCCAGGGGGCGTAACCCCCTAGTTCTCGTAATAAATTAAATTGATAAAGAGTATGGTGTGCGAAGTGACGAAAAAAACATTAAATTCAACCTTATTAAAGAACGCAAAAATGTTCGGCGTCTCGCGCAAGTGTGCGCTCTCTTCATGTCCTCCAGACGGATCTGGATCTATTTTTGCTACTTATTTCAATGCCTCGGTTAGGAGAAGTGCGACATCGTTTGAAAAATACGCAGGCTCGGAGAACAAATGAGTTCTTGTGAAGTCTCTGGAATATCACGTCAACACGTCGACATGTCGTTTTTTACAAAGGATTGTGCTTACGGTTCCAAGGTTAGCTTGCATGCTTCAGGGCTAAAGAATCGTAACTACATTTTCGCGTCAAGAAAAATGGGGGGGGGGGGATGAAACAGTGCTATTACCTGCAGCGTATATTACGAACCTTTAAAAATCCAGTATTCACTAGTCTAAAGTTGGCTGCAGGTGCTTAGTCACAAAGCCATTAAAAAGCAGAAAAAAAAAATCCAGTATCTGGAGCCTGTTGTCAGATATGATACCTTCATTTTTTAAAACCAAAACCCCACCGGAAAAAAAGTCTCTTGGATCCGGAGTCCAGACTCTAGAAAAATTTGACAAGAAATCAATCGGATTATTGCTTGAATGAAGAGCCAATCGTCTTGATTCAAGCGGATTCCTTTTTGATTCACGCAAAAATCCGATTGAATCAAGAGTATTTTTTCTTCGTCAAATGTTTTAAGAGTCTGGACTCTACATCCGAGAGACTTCTTTTCCAGTGCTCTTACTATGTATGTCTCAAATGCAAAGAACTCGATTTTTCCAAAATTGTCATGCCTACGATTCGCTGGCTCACTATAAATATGTTTTGCCACGTTTAAAATAATGCGTATTAGCAACAGGCAACCTCGCGCTCACGATCAAATTGGAGCCCACATGTAATTCGAAAAACTATCTACGTCTGAATTTTTTCTGGAAAAAACAGTAGGGGACCCATCTTGCGACACGCAATATTACTCGTGCTTTTAGCAAATTTCAACACTGAGGCAACTTTAGTAGGGCGGATAAGCATAACAATCGTGCATTTCTGGAAGAAAGAATGAAACTTTCAGGATATCATCTTTACCTATAGAAGGTTCAATTTCGCAAGTGAGCCCAAAATTCTGAGGCCATGGGGGCCGGGGAGGCAGGGGGCCCTGATTTCGCTATGTTTTGCCGAATTTTCGCGTTGGATCATCGTGAGAACGCCGTTAACAATGTAAAATGTGATCAAAACCTGTGTAAACGTCATTGATAGGTTCTCT